CCGTGTTTGAATTGGTATTGACCTTTTTGGAATTGGTGTTGACCTTGTTGGTAGTGGTGTCGACCATGTTTGAATTGGTATTGACCTTTTTGGAATTGTTGGTGTTGACCTTGTTGGTAGTGGTGTCAACTGTGTTGGAATTGGTGTTGACTGTGTTGGTAGTGGTGTCGACCGTGTTGGTTATAGTGGTGTCGACTGTGTTGGTTATAGTGGTGTCGACTGTGTTGGTTATAGTGGTGTCTACTGTGTTGGTTATAGTGGTGTCAACTGTGTTGATAGTGGTGTCGACCTTGTTGGTAGTGGTGTCGACCATGTTGGTAGTGGTGTCGACCGTGTCGGTAGTGGTGTCGACCGTGTCGGTAGTGGTGTCGACCGTGTTGGTATTGGTGTTGGTAATGGTATCATCCTTATGGTTGAGGTTCAGGTTGAGGTTCACTTTTAGGGTCTTGTTCTATCTCTGGCACCATTTTTAAACTTGTGACATGAAAATTTTGGTCTTCCGAACGCTGATAAAATGTTGTATTCGAAACGCTAGCTACAGAAGAAGGGGGGATAGCTCAGACCGCGAGGATTTGTTGACATCGATTGCCGCTGACGTGCGCATGCGCATAGTATCAGGGGAATGTTCAGACCGGGGGAGCAACCAGACTGCCACACCGGCTAGCTCGATTCTCATACGAAGTACACTGAACACAAATTGAATTTTAGTCACTCAAGTAAATCTATGCTCAGTGATATATACGACTATTAAATACGATCAGCTGAACAGGCCTCTATTCTAAAAGAGGCTTTCAAAAGAACGACTCGGTCACATACAGTATTGCAGTACTTTCTTATAGATTTTGTTTTATAAAATATACTTCTATGATATTTTTATATTATCTTCTGAATCTGAACAAACTTACCAAGTAAAGCGACCTTCTTTCTTAATTCTTCAATTTCCTCCGTCAAAACAGCAGGTCTTTGGCTCATTTTGAAATGCTTATATAAATCCTAGGAAAAGTTCTAGTTCCGTAAAAACAATTCGTCAAAATCCCTTCGAATGATTCGAGTTTCATATAAAATGATCGAGTTGTTGACGATTGCAAGCTCGTCGCTAAGCAACGGTTGTTATGAAAACTGTGCGCGACGTCATCGCCTTTTCGAAAAATAAGGCGTTTTATTTTGCGGGAAACGGTCGCGCGGTGATATTTTACTTTTGGTATAAAATTTCGTCCATTTTGGACAAATTTTAGTACAAATGAGACTTTTTTAGTAAATGTTAGTAATTTTTCAATGCAATAAAGATGCTAAATTGATTAATTCTCAAGCTTCATGTACTATAATCAAACTTTCAATATATTGATCAACCTACCCCCCGGGGTCTTCATAGTGGTATGTGTGTTGTCACAACAGGACGCTGATCAAACCGGGGGTGAGGGCATTTCTAATTTGGTAAATTGTTTCTCCATTTAGTAAATTTTGAGCACAAAATTTAGCAATAATCACTGGGAAAAACCGGAAAATATGGTCGCGGGAAATTTGAAGTATAAAAATAAAACACATGGCTGGTATTCGAACCTTTCTGCTCCAAAATTACTTGGTTTAAAGCGTAAAAACAGTTGCATCAGTTGCCCCAAAGAACAAACACTGTGAGTATAGTTAGATAGTTTTTTAAAAAGTACTCAGATATTTGTACTTTCGTACTGCAAACAGATAAGACCTATGGATAAGACTGATAACATTTGGCATACCCTCACCTAATCGATAAAAATCGATTATCGGAAATTTAATCGATTAGCGATGCCAATTAGTCAAATGATATCGATTGTTATCGGGCAATTGATGACCAATGGATAGTCACAAAAACCTAGGCCAATTTTATAGATTTTTATCAATTTAGTTTAATAACCTGCTATCATCGATCAATGGATGTAGAATTTTCATAGGAAAGATGAACAAACACCCTCAGGAGATGCACAACTGTTTTGCCGTAGAACTAATTTTTGAGGGAATTGGTAGTTTGTAGCCACTTTTGAGTCATTTTATTTCCCTCTTTCAAAAATATTGTAGAATTTTACACATTGAAATGTTATGACAAACA